CACCAGAGTCAACGACGTCATCCAACAACCGCTGTCGAAGAAGCAGCGATTCGGCAAAGGCGCCGAACAAACCCCGAAAGGGAAAGGAAAAGGATATCAGCAGAAGTGGTCACCTCCAGGACAAGGACGTCGATATCGACAATCCTGGTCCAATACGACCACACAATGGCGCCCATGGCAACCTTCGACACCTACGTGGACTACACAGGCCATGTCTTCTTGGCAAGCCACCCCGACACAAGCATGGACATCTCCTACGACGCCGACTTTCCTTACTCCGACACCATCACCGACCCTGCCACTGAACCCGGCTCCTCATGTATCTCAACCACGACCTCCTTGGAACATGAAGGGAGACAAAGGCTCGAAAGGCGCCGGCAAGAAGGGCAAAGCCGGTAAGTCCGGCAAGAAATAGGGACAGCACGGCCCAGGGTCTGCCGACCCTGGAGCCGACCATCGACCGACAGAGTTACACGACCGAACTTGTACATTGTGCTACGAGCTGGTCGGCACCTTGCCGGTGGTGCACCTGTCCTTCTTCGATGGTATCGGGATTGCCTCCGAAGCACTACGACGAATCAATGGGCACATTCTCCTGACCCTGTCTTGGGAGATCGACCTCGAATGTGCACAGTTTACCTCACAACACTTCGGATCCATACAAATGGGGGACGTGACACAGTTCGACATCGAGACCGTCGCGGAACACATCGATGCTGCTACTCTCCATCAACAATACATCATGGTGATCACCGCTGGACCACCTTGCCCCGATTTTTCGAACCTGCGTCACCGACCCCCAGGCTCCGAGGGCACATCTGGTTGGCTTTTCAGTCACATGGTGGGCATCGAACACCAACTCCGCAAACGCTTCACCGGCATCGCCATTGAAACGATCTTCGAGAACGTGGTCCCTCACCCAGATGTTCACGACAACTTGCTTGAGCTCACATCGCCACTGAGTATGGACCCCATAGTCGTCGATGCAGCCGACGCCGGAATCATGCACCGGAAGCGGCTGTGGTGGACATCGATCCCTTGGAACATCATCGAAGAACGCCTCCCACGACTCACACCTTGGTCCTTGGACTGGAAACTCGAGGGAGAATGGCACCGCCTACACAACCCGATCGCTACGGAATTGCAGGCACACATCAAGACGAAGGACTACTCCCTTCCCCCATGTCTCCATAACGACAAGAAACTTTTCCATTGCTTGACTACACCATCAACATCGACTACGGGCCGAGACCCGCCTAAACATCTCCGAGATCGCTCGACTTCACATGACGCGTGGCAACGATGGGAACAGGACAATCGTCGATACCCTGTGTGGCAGTACGAGGAGCAGTTCTTGGTGACACTACCCGATGGCACATGGTCTACTGCACCTGCTACACTTCGAGAACAACTTCAGGGTCTACCGCTGGACTACACCGCCACACTCGCCCAGGGCGACGAAACCAAACGATGCGTGGCTTTGGGCAACTCCTGGCATCTCCCCACGGCAGTTTGGATCATGTTCCTGCTGCTTCTCGGGACCGTCAACGCGACCATCCCCGACACACCACGATCTTCGGCTCTCCAGCAGATTACTGCCTTGTGGCTACACCACAAAGTCCCTTTCGGTCCTCCTCCACGTTCCACGACACACGACTACATGCCTCAGTTCTCCTGGACGGAACACCTCGATTGGGCACTTCATCGTGATACACACTTGTCCCCGAAGACGCTGGATCCTACCCTCGAGTGGTGTTTACAACATCGACATGTGTTTCACCCACTCGTAGATTTCCAGAAAGCGATCATCGATGACATCCGCGAGCTCGTCGAAGACATGGAGGATCACACCATGGCTTGGTATCACACACTCCCAGAACACGTACAACGAGCATATCGACACAAGGATTCGGTCACACAGATCCCAGTACTCGTTCACTTACTACGACTGATTCAATACCCACAAACAGAGTTGATCTATCGCGAACTCTCCGAAGGTTTCCCCTTGATGGGCAAGTTGACCCCAGGCATCAACTGGCACGTTCGACAGGACCTTAAATACCTCGAACCCACACCGATCGACGAGTTTGGTGACAAGAACCGACAGTACATCCACGACAAGCTCGAGAAGAATTCCATCGACGAACATTGGGAACTGATGCTGGACGAAATCCTGGCCGAAGTCGACATGGGACGCATGAACGGACCGTATCAGGCCCCCGACTGGTGGCCCCGTGCCGCCACGGTACCACCCAAAGGGAAACATCGAACCCTGTTACCACTACCACACTCCGATCCCTACATCGCCATGGCTTTCAGCATCGAACAGACCGGCAGCGACGGCAACAACAAAGTCAGACGGGGCGAGGATTGGCGCCGGAGTGGCCACAATGCGACCTGCACCATGCACGACCAGCCGTACCATCACACACCCGACCACTTTATTTCCTTGGGACTCGCCACACTCCGAACCGATCACTCGAAACCCTTGTCTGTTTGGGGACATGACCACGACGGGGCTTATCGCCAACTTCCACTTCGTGATCCTCGAGAAGCCTATGTGATGTTGTTGACCCCGGACGGCCCAACGCTGTGGAGCCACAATGTCCTCCTTTTCGGATCGGCCGCAAGTGTCTGGTCTTACAATCGATTCGGCGACATTCTCGTAGCCTGCAGCCGAACGATGATCTTGTCTCCGGCCATGCACTACGTCGACGACTACGGATCCATGGAGGACTCCGACCTCGCCAAAGGCAGCTTCGAGTCCTTCGAGGAGTACAACGGATGTCTCCAGATATCGATGAAGCCCAGTAAACGCCAACCACCGCAAACAGCACATCGTATACAAGGAGTCATCATTTCATCCGACGACAACAACTTGGTCCTCACACCTTGCCCGAAGAGAGTCGAAAACATGTGTAGACAAATCGACACACACCTGACTACTTCGTCACTGTCCCCCGAGCAAGCCAGGAAGATGGCCGGGAAGTGCAACTTCCTGACTGGGAGACTGTTTGGCAAGGTGGGTCGAGCGGCCTTGAAGGCACTTTATTCTCGAGCTCACTCCTATTCACATGCCCTCGACAAGCCTACACGCTCATCACTACTAGCCCTCAAGGACATCATACAGCACTGCCGACCAATGACGATACCACGCACACCGACCAAGCCGACATACAGCGTCATCTATACGGACGCATACTTCCGGCTTGGCTCCACCATCTACAAGCCGGGAGACAGCGACATCCCTAATTGGGACTCGAAGTCGACGTCCGACATCGAAAACGGCTGGGCGGCGGTTTGCTTCCACCACGGTGACGTGCGAACCGCCGCCTACTTCCAGGGTCGTCTGCCTTCACTACTTGTTCGACAGTTTGCCTCCGACCAGGCCTTCATCTACCTTCTCGAAGCATGGGTAGCGATACTGGCACCGTTGGTCTTCGAACCATGGCTGGATCAGTTCTACGTTCAATGCTGTGACAACGAAGCCTCCCGACATGCCCTGCTCAAGGGCGTTGGCAAACATCAACCTTTGAATTGCCTCATTGCGGCACATTGGACTTGGCACAATCGACGCAGTATTGCACATCGACTTGAGCGGGTACCCACCAAGGCGAACATCTCCGACGGGATCAGCCGCTTTGAGAACGTTCCGGAGTCTGAGAGCTGGACTAAACTCGATTTACCTCTCAATGCACTGACGAGTAGAGCTGCGAAGATCATAGGAGATATTCATTTTGCTTCCTCGACGGGTTTTTCCGACTTACCCGAAATTCACCGATTGCACGACCATTTGCTTTCGATGTTACGTTAATGTTCTTTCGAGTGGCGTTCGCCTGCGATGGGAGGACGCGACCACACTCGATGGGAACCAGTCGGTCCTCCCAGCGGAAGGAAAGATCAACACCGATCTGTAAGATCGACTACTTCGATCTGTAAGATCGAAGCGCAGACTTAACGCCACCGAAGCGGAAGCAGTTGGAAAACACCTCCGCTTCAGCCAGGGATTCATGGCCTTTGTGTGAGAATTTCGTTGTCGTGTAGCACACACTTGTTTGTGCGAAGTGACAACTTCATATCTCACTTAAACACCGAATCGGTCAGGGGATTGACTCACCGATTCATGTCGAATGATTGTATACTCCGTGGCCATTTTGGCGAAAGCTGTTACAGCTTGAGCGAAATTTTGTTTCACCCACCCGTCCCGACCCTCTTCGATATTACTTTCAATTTTCCTCTGCTTCCTGTCTGCGAGAACCGCCTGGGAACCAGTCGGTCCTCCCAGCGGAAGGAAAGATCAACACCGATCTGTAAGATCGACTACTTCGATCTGTAAGATCGAAGCGCAGACTTAACGCCACCGAAGCGGAAGCAGTTGGAAAACACCTCCGCTTCAGCCAGGGATTCATGGCCTTTGTGTGAGAATTTCGTTGTCCCTGGGTGTAGCACTGCCGACACTGCTGCTGTTCTTCTTGCTGATGTTGTTGTTGCTGCTGCTGCAGTTGCTGGTGTCTTTGTTGCTTAACTTGCAGTAGATTTTGGCGAGCAGTGGTATTCTTGCACTGTTAGAAACTTCTTTCGTTGCATTAGGATGCTCATTGTGAAAATGCCCATATCACCTTAAGCCAAGTTCTTCTGAGAACGCTGCAACACCGAAACTGCAGCGTGGCTTACAAGCACAGCGCATCAGACTGGACAGTAGAGTAATCACGTACTGCTGATAGTGCTTATGAGTACTCGTGATACAGGTCAACTAAGACCAAATAGGGGAGTAGTAGCCAATGCCATGCGGATAGGCAGGATGTCGAGCATCTTAGTCACACGTCAGTACTCGAATATTGCTGGTAGAAACATGTCTTCGGTCCGAGTAGTAGAAGCCTTTGAAACAGCTGCATGACTGTATGATTTTCTGGGGCGCAGTACTCTGAATACGACTCGCCCTGATGGCTTTATCAGGAGCTTGCGGCAGTCACCCGAAACCTTGAGAATCCTGATATCAGGCCGAGTCACTGTGGAGCCAGACGTCGGAGCAGAATGCCAACCGCACGACCTGCGAGGACCCGTCCGACTTGACTTGCCTAGGGCATGGGAGATGTAGGCGTAAGGGGTTCTGTTTTATGTTAGGGTTGAGCGCAGGGATTTGGAATTGCTGCAGGATCTGTTCTGCACGATGTCTTGTCTGGTATGTGGAGAAGTAGCACTGCGATGAACCGAAGAGCAGTCTTGCCCATACTGTTCTGGCTACGACCACACACTTGCTTTGCACAAGTCCCATGACAATGCTAGTACTGCTGTTTAGGTGTTTGTGTTTGGGCGCGTGGTGTTGTTGATGATGTTGTTGCTGGATGTGGCACTGCCGGCACTGCTGTTGTTGTTGCTGCTGCTGTTGCTGGTGTCTTTGTTGCTTCACTTGCAGTAGATGTTGGCGAGCAGCGGTATTCTTGCACTGTTTGAAACTTCTTTCGTTGCATGAGGATGCTCATTGTGATAGTGCGCTTGGCACCTTAAGCCAAGTTCTTGTGAGAGCGCTTCAACACGGAAAGCCCCGGTCAAAACATTCCTGCGACACTCATAAACGTGCCTTGAGCTCCCATGCTGCAAGCCCGAAACCCTGAACCCGAAGCCTGAAGTGCTGCGAGACGAGAGTGGAGAGGTTTCGAGCTGTCCAAAGAAATCCTTAAGGCTGTAAGCCTTTCGCAGAGCGGGGAGTCGAAAGAGTAAGCAACCGGGTCTGAGGACTCACGAAGCTCGCTTCACTGCTGCCATCCTCCCTCTTCACATCAACCTCGATTGCATCTTGACCGGGATTGGCCTCATGGAAGCTCTCCACATGAAAAGCCAACTTCTGAGTTTCTGGTATCCGGAGCTAGCATATGTTGTAAGCCGTCTGGCACCTGTGGCCGAAGTAATCAGAGCAGCATCAAGGATGTCCCTAAACGCACCCTAAGCCGGTCAACAGAAGCCTAATGCGACAAAGCCCTAGACCCTGAACCCCAAACCTTGAACCTTGCGCCCCAAAACCCGAAAGCGAAAACTCTAAATCCTGAAAGCCTACACCCTGAACCCTGAACCCGAAATCCCAAACCCTAAATCCTGAAAGCCTATACCCTAAACCCTGAACCCTAGACCCGAAAGCCTAAACCCGAAAGCCTAAACCCGACAGCCTAAACCCGACAGCCTAAGCTTTAAACAGAGCCCCCCCAGGCGCAAGTTGCGGAGCTTTTCCGGGAGGTTCAGGCACAGCGCATTCTGCTGAGGGTGGGTGGGCCGATGAAGGCCGGGAGTGGATCTCAAGGGCTTAGGGTTCCTTTGAGGGGTTATGGTTTAGGATCTACCAGGGTTAGGGTTTAGGGTCTGTAGAGGAGGTTTAGGGTTTTAGGGTCTATTAGGGGTTCGGGTTTAGGGTCTGGGGTTTTGGAGTTAAGACCGGGTAGTCTTGAAAGTGGCTTGATACAAGCGTTTGGCGCAGAGCTTCGGAACTTGGATTTTGGGGCTAAGGCGGGGTTCGGGTCTGTTGCCGCCTTTCTTCGAGGTCATTCTCTCCGTTTGTACCCCATCAGAATAAGACCTTCCGCCCGCGAAGTTTTCCTGGATCATGACCTACAAGAACAGGTTGTTGTGGAGGATGGGGATGAGAGCGATGACGAACATCATCAGGCAAGATTTTCTAAGTACAAGATGAGATTACGACAAGTCCAGCTGAGGGCTGAGGACTCTTAAGGTTCGGGGGATCGTTGTAGCAGAGGACCCCTAGGTATATACCCTTAATATAGCTATTATATACCCATTATATAGCCCATTATAGGGTAGGGGTCCCCATGTCGTGACAAGATCATCTTCAAAGGGCGGGAGCTCTGCTGCGCTAGTGACTTTCTGGAAAGACTCGGGAGAGTCTGGAGATTCAACCCTGAAGCCTCAGACATGAGAGCCTGGACCCCGAACGCCCCTGATCCGGAACCCCCATACCCCCAAAAAGAGCGCATGACTTTGTAGCTGAGTGGATACACTTTACACTTTTTTTGGTATAATATCATATACACGCTATAAAAATTGAAAGTGTACACTTTTGGGGGGCTTATGAACTCAGCAACTGAGATGAGCCACCCTGAAGCAGGTAGCCCTCCGATCTGGTTGGCTGGAGCAGTCGCAGCTGCCCCAAAGCATCGTCTCCCAAAAAGGTCTCGAAGACCTGGCTGCAAGGCCCCTCCTTTTGAGAAATTTTGAAAATTGTGGAAATTTCGGAAACTTTGAGAGACCTTCAGGGGTACATTTGATGATAAGAGATAGTCTTGCTAATTTGTCCTGGCCGCGGTGAAGCAGAGAGTTGGGGGCCCATGGGTTTGTTTAAGAGACTCCCTGAGTTGGCGAGCCGACTTCTAGTTTGGAAAGCTTCTTTGCCATGAAGGCTTTTGAGGTTTTTGTCGTTTAGGGCTTTTTACAAACCCTAAGCCCGAACCCCTTTAACCCCAAGCCCCGAACCCTACGCCGTAGGTCCCATCGGTGCCCGAAGGCTCGGCTGGAAAGCCCCGGAATCGATGCCCGCTGGCCCGGTGCCATTGGCCGGGACATTGCATCGAAGCTCGGTAACTTAGATAGTGAACGGGGGAACTTTAAACTTGTTGGCCTTATATATTAGCTCCATCTTGGAAAGTTTGAACTTTTTGGGGCCCGGTTGTTGAAGAACAGAGGTAAGGGACCTGGTTTCAGCTTGTAGGGTTTTAGGGTCCAGGGTTTAGGGCTTACAGCAGGGTTTGTTGAAGTTTTTCAGGGTCAGCTCAGTTCGCGTCCCGACCACATGTCATGAAAGCAGGTATGTAAGGCCTGTACGCATGTTTCGTTTCGTAGCAAGAGCAACGCGAGGAACAGCGACAGCAAGACCATTCTAGTACGAAACGAAGACCCAACGCTCACTACGCTTGTAGTCCTATCTCTAGTTACTATTAGAATCTATTAGACTAACTAAGGTACTACAAAACCATACTTATTAAGTGCCGCGATCCTTATAAAACCTTTGTCCGGAATCGAGGCAGACGGGTTCAGGCATATGAAGTGAACAGCTAAGGAGTGAGCTTCGGCTTGTCGGTGACGAGGCAGCTGTGTTTGGCCACCATCCACATCGGCCGCGCCTTGATCCAACACAATGCCAGAAGATTTGGGGCTTTCTGACAATAGGGGACCCTAATGTAGTAAATAATAGGATCCGTATTATAAGGACCCCATTTAAATACGGCACCCCTTCTTTTCGAAAGCTCCCATTTGTAGGAGGGGGTCGGCCCTGGAAGTTTGAGCAGGTATGTTTCGCAAGCCTAGCGTGAGCTGTGTTATTTGGAAAGTATCGCCATGTTGGTTGCGAGCCCATCATGATATTTGCTTTTGCAATTTGCAGCTGACAGGAAGTCTTCTCGTGTCTTCGGCGATTGCCCGGGAAGTGCTGTCAACCGGCTTCCTGGCTTCCTTCCTGGGGCTTTAGGACGTCGTCATTAGAGAAGCTTGAACAAGAAGGCCAAAATCTACCCGTAAACGACATTTGAAATGATTCAGGTCCTGTAAAGTCAACAGAATAGAGCAGCTTCAAAGCTTCCAGGTGGAGATCTGAAGCCCCCCGAGCCATCTGCGTAGGGTGTGGGGTTCTGAGGTCTTGGGCTGAGGATGTAGCCTCAAGTCGACTTAGTTTGGAGGCTTGGGGTTTCGAATCTGCGGTAAAATCCGAGCGGATAGCCAAGCAAAGAGCCTCACTTCTACAGACCCCGATGGCCATAGCTGAGCCCATGTGCACCCACAGTAACATGTTTGAGGCACCCAAGGCTTCAACATCGTCGCTTTTGCCTCCAACATGGAAAAATCGAAGCATCTGAGCGATCAGCAAATAAAGTTTAGCGGTTGGAACAATATGAGAACTCGATTGCCAGTATTCAATCAAGGAGTTGTTTGAATTGCGGGCTCTGAAGACGCTCTAGAAGAACGCACCGCACCCTGAGTAGGCCCTAAACCAGAAAGACCTTTGGGGTTCAGGGTATAGGTCCGCTCTTATGCTTTACCCGACAAGCCGTCCTAAGCCCAAAGGCTCTGTGGGCTTCCTTGGCCCGACCAGCAGCGGCAAGACCACAATCCTGCGTGCTGCAGCCGCAGCGCTGTCGATGCAGGAGCAGGCTGTGGTGGCTCTTGGGGCTCTTTGGATCTTGGGATTACGGGGTTTGAGTCTGTTGATGGGGTTTAGGTGTGTGAGGGTGTGGGCTAGTAGAGTTGGATGGTCTAGGAACCATGTGGAGATGCGAGAAGGATATGGAGGGAGTGGGTTTCAGGTTACGGTTTGGGGATGTTCAAACACACCAGAAATCACAGCTTGGTTCAGGTTCTCATCATATGGACAGTTTTCGAGTAGATTCGTCATGTCAGTTTTACCGATGCGAGCTGCTCCGTTCCTAGATGGGGTGCGGAGTTCAGTCCTGGGATTCGTGCTTTTGGGTGATCCGAGCTTGGGTTCAGTGAGTTCAGGCTTTAGGTTCCACGTCTCTTGAATTCGTATCTCCTTTATTGTGACTTTTCGCCTCAAGATTGCAGGTCCTTGTTGTGGATTTTCGTTCTGAGCTGATGGGTGTGGCGGTCGACGCTTGCGAAATCGGCTTGGAGCACGCCGCGTGACTCGCCCAGGAAGCAATGCCAAAGACTTTCCTTCGTGATTTGGGGTCCAGTTGGAAGCAGATCTCCGTGAGCCAGTCAGCCCATGAAAGCTTCTCCACGAACGGGTGAGGCTTTACGATCCCCACCAAAACAGGAGGCCAAGATTGTGAGCTCTCGAACGGAAATCTTCCTTGCCTGCGAGAGACCCGGGGCCCAGAGCCTGAAACCCCGAATCCCAAACTCTAAGCCCCCGTTTGTGCTTTAGGTACTTGGTGCCTCCACCCGGGGTCGAAGAGGAGGAGGAAGCCATCCAGCGTGCCATTGAAGACCACGCACCCGAGGCTGGAGAAACCAAGTACTAACTGTAAAAGTATGGGTATTGTATACTTACATGTATTAAATTTTCTATTTGGATTGTGTTCTCTGAGAGGTTGCCATTTTTTGCCACTGCTAACATGACAACATTGTCAACATGAGCGTTTTTCAACCCAATAAGTATGGACAGTTGTAGCCTTTGCAAACTGCAGATCGCGAACGCGCCCGGTTTCTGTGGAACTCCACCCGCATGAGCGCACACTGGAGACCTTGAGATGGCCCGGGTCTGCTCGATTGGAGCGGTCCGGGTCAAGGGTTTCAGTTCTGTGGGCCTGTGGGGTTAGTTTTGGAGTTTATGGACGTAGGGCGCAAGGCATTAAGACTTGGGACGCTCATTGCTCTGGATCTGGGACTTGGGATTTTGGTCGCGCGAGTCTTTTGCCGCGGAAAGTTAGGCTGCAGCGATTTACACCCCCCCTGAAACAAGCGGGTTTTGGCTATTGACTCTTATACCCTGGCTAGTTTGCACTTTGTAGGTGCCCGTGGCAGTATGACTGGCAATAAAGTTGCAGGTGTACAGTAACCCTCTTCAGACCCTGCAGCCGGCAGTCTTGAAGGTCCCTGCAATCCTTGCAGTCTTAAGTTCATGCTTACCCAAAACGGCCCCCAGTCCCAAAGCCTTCGAAGGGGGGATTGCTGATTTTTTCACAGGCCTTTCAACAAATGAACCAAGCTGTGCAGGGCGGCGGCACCCTTCTGAGTCGGCATCCGAAACCTTGAAGTTTGCTGATGTTGGGAAAAGCCTGGGACTAGTTCGGCCAGACTTCCAGGCAAGCTTCTCCCAGGCGCCTCGCAGCGTCAAACGCCTAAGTTGACTCGACATGCCTGCGTCGTACTTGGAAGGGCACGGGACTTAGTAAGTAGGTTATAAGTAGGGTTATAACTGGTGTAATTCTATTTAGGGTACTTATAACTCTACTTATAACCTACTTACTAAGTCCCCTGCCCTTCCAAGTACAGGTCGTCGTCGCCGAGTTCGCGCTGCCGATCTCCGCACTGAGGGCGGCCAAGCGGTGCGCCGAGGCAGTGGGGAAGTACCCAGAGACTCCAATATCCCTTAATTAAGGAATATACCTTAAATCATATAAGGGATACTACTATAATTTAAGGTAGATTCCTTAATTAAGGGATATTAGATTCCCCTAAACCCTATAGATCCCTTAAAGGAACCCTAGGTATATTCCTTACTTAAGGGACATTGGAGTCTCTGGGTAGGGGAGCTTTTGGCCTGGTTTTTTACATTAGGGTCTTTGGGCAGATTGGGATATCATGCTGTCGGGACTAGATGAGGACCTTGCTTCTTGGGGATGTTCAAGTCAATGTGGGATTTTTGTAAAGGCTTTTAGGTTTTGAATTGGAGTTGAGGGCTGCGTACTGGGCTTAGAAGGCTTTGGATGTAAGGCTGAGGGGCTTCGGTAAAGGGCTGGGTTGCTGAATTAATTGATTTCAAGACAAGGTTCGGAAACCTTGACATGGGATCCTTGTGGTACTTGTAAGCTTTCACTTGGGCTTTGAGTTTGTAGAGGGTGTCAAATATAGGAAGAGCTTCAAAATGAGCAATTGTTCCTCGATGGTCTCCGTGTCTTGCAAGAAAGGCACAAATCAGCTACGCCCAAGTAAGCTATTCAGTTCAGGCTTTACTTAGTCGGTTTAGGTGGGCTACTGTCCGGAGGCTGGCGTCCGCATGGTTTGCAGCCTCCGCTGCACCATGAAGGCCTTGGGCGGTGTTCCTTTTTATGTGGATGGGCAATCTGGTCGAAGACCGTCAGTCAGCCCTATCGCCAAAACGCTTGAACTGCCTTAAACCTTGAACCCCAACCTTGACTAAGCCAAAAGCCCGTAAGGATAGCTTACAGGTTAAGGGATCCCTTTAAGGGTACCTTAAGGGTTCCATTAAAGGGATCCCTTTCTTGGATGGTTGGGAACTCGACGCAGGCCGTGGCGTCCTGCCTGGAAGAGGGAGCCTGCGAGGACTTTCCCTTCGCTTCTTTGGTGGAGCTGTCCCCCGGCGTCGTTGAGCTCGCTGTTTTATCAAAGCTGGAGGTGTCATACATATTATGTATACCTTTATATCTATATCTACATATATATATATATATATACATCCCGCCGCATTCAGACGTCCATTCAACGTAGATGCATACGGGACGAAGACCAGCGTCCAAGCTTGAAGCTCCAAGTTCCGACCGAAGACACGCCCGCAACCCCAAACGCCCTAAACCGGGATACCTGCAGGTCGAGGAAGCAGCTGGGTGGCTGGCGCGTGTACCGGCCAGCGGCAGATGCTGTCGGCGCGCTGGGGCCGGGGTCTTTGCGGTGGCAGGTCTCCACTATAATCACTATAAAGCGTTTAGAAGGGTGTCTCTCAGGGTACCATGAGAAAGTTCTCCAAATTAGGATCCATTTTAGGTCTCCCTTACAGCACGGCACCCTTTGTGAGAAGGATCCTAGAAGGACCGTAATTTAGACAACTTCCCACAGAATTGCATTGGCAACGTGTTTTACGAAAAGGGGCACGAAGGAAAGGCAGTTGGCATTGAATTCAGAAGATTTGAAGCTGGCTCTCATGCACCTGAGCCCATGTGCCGAGTTGAATGTGATGGTAAGGAAGTCAAAGCAGCAGCCAAGCAGTGTCCCAACATCCCTCAGCCTGAACCAAGGGCAGAATCCGCTCCCTGCACGCCGGAGACTCTTGAAGAGGTCATGACATGACCAGCCACTGCAAGCAGCACCCTTCGAAGTTGAGGTTAATTCAACATGCTGGCATTAGACTTATTTTAATACGCAAAGATCCGCAGTGGATACTCTCCGATGTCATGGCGTAGCGACGAATTTTTGTACATAGCCTTTTGCAACGGTCGCGCCCCAGACCCCCGGCCGCCCCATTATTGAGGGCTAGCGGGCGGGCGGGCTCCGTTTGCAGACCATGGTCCGGTCTGCCAGCTCCAAGATACGTGATATTATCACGAGATTAATTTGATCGCCGGCCTTGTGCTTGATCTGCAAAGCAGAGCATCAGCAGAGGTGGCAGTCTCTGTATCTCACGCAGTTGGATGAAGGAAAAAGGCGACAGGGGTAGATTGAAGATGTGTTTTATCTCGAACTTCTTCGCAAGGAAAATCCTGCCCTCGCTTTCGCCAATGCGGAAAATTGTACGTTCTTGGCCGAGTTGGCAGATGGCAAAAAAGTATATTTCCAATTTCATTTCTTCATCTTCCGATAAGTTCATAAGATTTTTCATGAAATTCTTTGGTAATTTCAAAGAGCTAGCGTCTATGAAATTACAATATTTGTCTTAACTACTTAATTTAGCAGGAAAATCAGAGAGAAAATATTCCTTGTTATTTGATTCATAGGGAAATTAGTAACGCACTCTTTATCTTTCTTTCTATATACATCGTGATTCTCTCTCTCTCTCTCTCTCTTTATTATTTTCTAGATTTCTCTCTATTCTTCTCTTCAAAGCAATAATTTT